AGTAGTGGTGGCGGTGGTAGTGGTGGTGGCGGTGGTGGTGGTGGCGGTGGGGGTGGTGGTGGTGGTGGTGGGGGTGGTGGTGGCAGTAGTGGTGGCGGTGGTGGTGGTGGTGGTGGCGGTGGTGCTGGCGGTGGCGGTGGTGGTGGTGGCGGCGGTGGTGGTGGCGTTTGGTGATGGTGGTGCTGGTGGTGGTGGAGGTGGTGGTGGTGGTGGGGGTGGTGCTGGCGGTGGCGGTGGTGGCGGTGGCGGCGGTGGTGGTGGCGTTGGTGATGGTGGTGCTGGTGGTGGTGGAGGTGGTGGTGGTGGTGGGGGTGGGGGGGGTGGTGGTGGCAGTAGTGGTGGCGGTGGTGGTGGTGGTGGCGGTGGTGCTGGCGGTGGCGGTGGTGGTGGCGGTGGTGGCGGTGGTGCTGGCGGTGGCGGTGGTGTTGGCGGTGGTGGCGGTGGTGCTGGCGGTGGCGGTGGTGGGGGTGGTGGTTGCAGTAGTGGTGGCGGTGGTAGTGGTGGCGGTGGTGGTGGTGGCGGTGGGGGTGGTGGTGGTGGTGGTGGGGGTGGTGGTGGCAGTAGTGGTGGCGGTGGTGGTGGTGGTGGTGGCGGTGGTGCTGGCGGTGGCGGTGGTGGTGGCGGTGGTGGCGGTGGTGCTGGCGGTGGTGGGGGTGGTGGTGGCAGTAGTGGTGGCGGTGGTGGTGCTGGCGGTGGCGGTGGTGGTGGCGGTGGTGGCGGTGGTGCTGGCGGTGGCGGTGGTGGGGGTGGTGGTTGCAGTAGTGGTGGCGGTGGTAGTGGTGGCGGTGGTGGTGGTGGCGGTGGGGGTGGTGGTGGCGGTGGTGGGGGTGGTGGTTGCAGTAGTGGTGGCGGTGGTGGTGGTGGTGGTGGCGGTGGTGCTGGCGGTGGTGGTGGTGGCGGTGGTGGCGGTGGTGGCGGTGGTGGTGGTGGTGGTGGCGGTGGTGGTGGCGGTGGTGGTGGCGGCGGTGGCGGTGGTGGTGGCGGTGGTGATGAGGGTGGTGGTGGCGGAGGTGGTGGTGGCGGTGGCGGTGGTGGCAGTGAGGCAAGGACCACAATCATACGGCCTCCGTTGGTTTCTGATACCCCCCCCACCCCAACAATTCTGATGTCTACACACTGCACCAGGTAGTAATTTAAGGCTGAGTCGACCTAGAGGAGATCCAAGACGAGCTTAAATAAATATGTAGCTTACACACACTCATACACACGCGTGTGAGTGGAAGATCAATGAATGCGCTGCACTACATACCTGGCGACCCGGGTTCGATTACCGCTCACGGCCAACATCAGTGACGATTATCTGAGCCGGTCTTGAGCTTCCCCTAATGGTTCACCCACCCCTTCGTGTGACGTGTCGGCTTTTATAGGTGCTCGCTAACAGCACTTGCCCCAACAGTCTGTTACAGGCTATTCTATTGGTGCAGCAGTACACACCGTGTATGGCTTGCCCGGGTGTGTTCGCTCACAGCGCTATGAATCCGGCCACCTGAGTTCGAATCCAGGCCACGGCTGACATCAGTAGCGAGTCAATGATCTGAATTGGGCCAACCCACCCACCCCCCCCTATCGTTCACCAAACCCGCACTGAACAGCGTGGTGAAGTATGATCAAACAATCCCACAAACGCCGGGAGAGACCTCCTCCTTAAGCGTACTGTCAAAGGAATATTCATTGTAAATATGCGTGGCTTTAGTTTATGATACATTCGTTTAGATCGTATACAAATGTTCAACACTCACACGTGTTTGATTGCCTATGGCGTGCAGCACTCTAAACTAAACTGTAAACTATTTTTTATAATAAACGTTTTGGGTTTAGATCGCGTTATTTATAAATGTGTCGTAACCCTCCAACACCCGACACGGCCAATCAGCAAAAAAGTGTCGCGTTGACAATTTACAATTTTTGAAACCACAACATGTACAATTTGTGAGTACTCAAAAATTGTAAATGTTGTGGTTTCACTCTTCAACACACCGGTGGGCTAGAGCAGTGAACTATTTTGTCTTTTGTCAACGTGACACTTTTTTTGCTGATTGGCCGTGTCGGGTGGTGGAGGGTTACGACACATTTATAAATAACGCGATCTAAACCCAACAACGTTTATTATGAATAATATTGGTCGCGAAAGCCTGCTACGTGTTAAACTGTAAACTATTTTATTGTTGCTAGGAAAGGCTCACTGAGCTGTATGAACTCCCTTTCAGAAGTGGCTTGTCACATGGAAATTGACAGCATCCAGATACCCCCAAACGCAAACTCCAAATATACAGCAGCAGCAGGCGTCATGGATCGAACCCAGGACCTCCTGCATACCAGGCGAGGTAGTTAACATCTCGCCAAAGCGGCACCCCTAACTCTAACGGGGTGTGCAGTTGCGTGCCTCCACTCACCTCTGCCCAAGGCAGCCAACAAGTCGACCGAAACGTCGGACGTTTACAATTTCGGCGCCTGCTTTAGCTCACGCAGCTTCAATGGTTTAAAAACGAATCACTGCCGGGGCTTTGCGTGTGCGTGAGAGATGATAACCGATCCGATTGCTTGGTCCGTATCATCGGTGTTGGGTGCGAGGCTGGTGACGGAACGTCAGTCAAAGGATGCAAACTAGATCGGAGAGAGAAAATCGACGAAAGGTCACCCACGCAACACCGCGGGGGGTGATGGATCGTGCCCTAGCATCGCGTGACAGCCAGGGATGACGACGAATATCGTGATGCCTTCATTCAGCAGTGGATAGACCATGGCCAATTATGATTACTACAGCGGTGGTGTTACTACTACAACTACTACCACCATCATCATAATACACTGTAGGTTTTAATCTCCCACCGTGATCTGGATAAGCTGGGATCAGCCAGATCAGCACCTCAAGATATTGGACAGTGACTACAATACAGGACAGTGGCTACAGGACAGTGACTACACTACAGGACAGTGACTACACTACATGACAGTGACTACACTAAAGTGACTACACTACAGGACAGTGTCTACAGGACAGTCTCTACACTACAGGACAGTGTCTACACTACAGGACAGTGACTACACTACAGGACAGTGTCTACAGGACAGTGTCTACACTACAGGACAGTCTCTACACTACAGGACAGTGACTACACTACAGGACAGTCTCTACACTACAGGACAGTGACTACACTACAGGACAGTCTCTACACTACAGGACAGTGACTACAGGACAGTATCTACACTACAGGACAGTGACTACACTACAGGACAGTGACTACAGGACAGGACAGTCTTTACACTACAGGACAGTGACTACACTACAGGACAGTCACTACACTACAGAACAGTGTGTACACTACAGGACAGTCTCTACACTACAGGACAGTGACTACAGGACAGTGTCTACACTACAGGACAGTCTCTACATTACAGGACAGTGTCTACACTACAGGACAGTGTCTACACTAAAGGACAGTCTCTAAACTACAGGACAGTGACTAGACTACAGGACAGTGTCTACACTACAGGACAGTCTCTACAGGACAGTGTCTACACAACAGGACAGTGTCTAAACTACAGGACAGTGACTACACTACAGGACAGTGACTACACTACAGGACAGTGTCTACACTACAGGACAGTGTCTACAGGACAGTGTCTACACTACAGGACAGTGTCCACACTACAGGACAGTAACTACAGGACAGTGTCTACAGGACAGTCTCTACACAACAGGACAGTGACTACACTACAGGACAGTGTCTACACTACAGGACAGTGTCTACAGGACAGTCTCTACACTACAGGACAGTGTCTACACTACAGGACAGTGTCTACACTACAGGACAGTGTCTACAGGACAGTGACTACACTACAGGACAGTGTCTACACTACAGGACAGTCTCTACACTACAGGACAGTGACTACACTACAGGACAGTGACTACACTACAGGACAGTGAATACAGGACAGTGACTACACTACATGACAGTGACTACACTACAGGACAGTGACTACACTACAGGACAGTGACTACACTACAGGACAGTGTCTACACTACAGGTCAGTCTCTACAGGACAGTATCTACACTACAGGACAGTGTCTACACTACAGGTCAGTGACGACACTACAGGACAGTGTCTACACTACAGGTCAGTCTCTACAGGACAGTGTCTACACTACAGGACAGTCTCTACACTACAAGACAGTGACGACACTACAGGACAGTGTCTACAGAACAGTGTCTACACTACAGGACAGTGTCTACACTACAGGACAGTGTATACACTACAGGTCAGTCTCTACAGGACAGTGTCTACACTACAGGACAGTGACTACACTACAGGACAGTCTCTACACTACAGGACAGTGTCTACACTACAGGACAGTGACTACACTACAGGACAGTCTCTACATTACAGGACAGTGTCTACACTACAAGACAGTGACTACACTACAGGACAGTGACTACACTACAGGACAGTGTCTACACTACAGGACAGTGACTACACTACAGGACAGTGTCTACACTACAGGACAGTGACTACACTACAGGACAGTCTCTACACTACAGAACAGTCTCTACACTACAGGACAGTGACTACACTACAGGACAGTCTCTACACTACAGGACAGTCACTACAGGACAGTCTCTACACTACAGGACAGTATCTACAGGACAGTGTCTACACTACAGGACAGTCTCTACACTACAGGACAGTTTCTACACTACAGGACAGTCTCTACAGGACAGTCTCTACACTACAGGACAGTCTCTACACTACAGGACAGTCTCTACACTACAGGACAGTCTCTACAGGACAGTGTCTACACTACAGGACAGTCTCTACACTACAGGACAGTGTCTACACTACAGGACAGTGACTACACTACAGGACAGTGACTACACTACAGGACAGTGTCTACACTACAGGACAGTCTCTACATGAGTGTAAATCCCCGATGTCCCGGTGATGATTGGTGACCCAGAGCTGCCTTCATGATCCATTCATGTGCGCGAACATTCACTCACACGTGGCGCTGTCATCCTCTTCCTCGCTGCTGCTGCTCTTGCGGATGCTGCTGCTGCTGATGATGGTACTGCTGCTGTTGCTGATGCTGATGATGCTGCTGCTCTTGCTGATGATGCTGCTGCTGATGCTGCTGCTCTTGCTGATGATGCTGCTGCTCTTGCTGATGATTATGCTGCTGATGATGGCGATGCTGCTGCTGTTGCTGATGATGCTGCTCTTGCTGATGGTGATGCTGCTACAGCTGCTGCTGATGATGATGCTGCTGCTGTTGCTGATGATGGTGATGCTGATGATGGTGATGCTGATACTGCTGCTGCTACTGCTGATGATGCTGCTACTGCTGCTGTTGCTGCTGCTGATGATGGTGATGCTGCTGCTACTGCTGATGATGCTGCTACTGCTGCTGTTGCTGCTGCTGATGATGGTGATGCTGCTGCTGCTACTGCTGATGATGCTGCTGCTGCTGATGCTGCTACTGCTGCTGATGATGATGGTGATGCTGCTGTTGCTGCTGATGCTGCTGCTGTTGCTTCTGCTGATGATGCTGCTGCTACTGCTGATGATGATGATTCTGACGGTGTCGATATCGCTTGTGCTTCCGCTTTCGATGGCGCTGTAGCTGCTGGTCACCGCTTATTGCGCTGTTGACAACGCCGATGCTGATGATGATGATGATGACGCCGTGGTGCCAACGTCGTTGCTGCTGTTGGCGATGCTGTCCAGCTGCTGCTGCTGCTGCTGCTGCTAAAGCTGTTGGTTCTGTGGTTGAGGCAGCTGTTGTCGATGTCGCTTCTGCTGTTTACTTCTGCCGATCTTTGCCGTTACCCGCGGTGACGATCCTCATTCAGTGCCCTCCGTGGTGCCGCCGCTGATGATGCATCGTCGATTCTCTCGGTCGCTTCGCTGTCCGCACTTTGCTGACGCGGCTGCTGCTTGTGATGATGATGCTGCTGCTGTTGTTCGTCGCGCCAGGCGATGCCGATGGTGCTGTCCACGAAGCTTCGGGCTATATCACTCGGCAGATGTCCTCTGTCTTGTGCCACGGGAGTTCTTGTTCCATTCGCTCCTCCACCACCACCGCCACCGCCTCGGATCTCCTCCTCTAGACGCGCTCACAACTTCGCTTTCACGCCGCCTCTCGTATCGCGTCCACCTCCCTAGCGGCCGTCAGTCAGCTCGTTCATCCATCCTCGCCCAGCCCCTTTGCCCGCCTCTCGTGGGGCGATTTTGAGACACGCGAGCGCCCGTCAACAACAACAACAGCAGCAGCAGCAGCAACAACAACAACACAAACAGACGCCAACAGAGAACACGACGAGCGTGGCAGTCGGAACACGTCGGTAGAGCAGCCACCCCCGTGCTGTGCCGGAGCACCACAGCCTGGACATGCGTGTGTCACTCCGATCGCGTGCTCGGAGGTTCCTGCTGATGAGGAGCGAGAGACAGAGAGGGAGCGAGAGACGGAGATGGAGCAAGAGAGACAGAGAGAGGGAGCGAGAGACAGAGATGGAGCAAGAGAGAGAGAGAGCGCACGAGGGAGCGAGTGATCGGGCGATGCGCCGCAACTCTGCCGATCTTGTTGAGCTGGCGTCGTGGATAAAGGGTATTCCACCTCCTCCTCCCCTCCCTCCGCTTCCTCCTCCCCGCGTCTCCCCAAACCGGACCCCCCCTACACCCAATCCCATCTACCACCCCTCCCCCCCCAACATTCTCGTACCCTCCCCTCGCCGCTAGCACCACCTCCTCCTCCCTCCTACAATTACCACACTCACCATCCACCAGACACCCCACCCCACTCCCTTGCCCTCCTCCCCGGCTCACCCTACGATTCTCCCCCACCCTCTCTCGCTCTCTCCCACCAACATTCTCGCTCTCTCTCTATCTCTCTCTCCGTGGGCGAGTGTTAGCCTCGCATCCATGGTTACAGCAGCCCCAGAAACACTGCTCGCACGCGCACGCACGCGCGCTCGCACGCGCCCAGAGAGAGGGAGATTGTGTCCGAGGAGCAATCACTCCAAATTAAATCATTAGGTACATTAGGTATTCCCTCCATTCCTATAGCGGCGAGGTTTTCACAGTGGTGCTTTTGTTGCACAGATTGGTACAGGGGGTTTGCCAGTTGTCTTGCAGTAGGGGGCGATGCTGATGTGTGTGGTTTTTTTCGCGACGTGATATATTTCGTTTTCTATCTTTCTTACAATTTTTTGCCAAATTCGGATCCGTGTACGCGGGCACACAATTTGCCTATTTTGTTGTTGTTGTTTTGGGTTTAGAACAACTTCACTCCATCTCACGCCAGCTGTTCACGGTCAATTACGCGCGCTGTATTAACCAGGGTCGTTCCGCTTGGTTCGAAACGCGAACCTCTACAGACAAACAAACAAAAAGTTACAGCTTGGCCGTGTCACGAAGCGGTCAATGTAGCGCAGCGGGTAGAATATTGGGCTTCACCCACAATCAACAACCATCATCATCATCATTAGCAGCAGCATCATCATCATACGAAGCATTATTGATTGGGATGAACCTATCATCGTGAATGCGCTAATCGTGCCCTATCTAAGGTGAGCGTAAGATTGTCAGTACAGCAATTGAGTAATTATGAAATATATTTGTACGGAGGCACGTGTTTTAGTCTTGAGACTCACTTAGGCTTGCCTGGATAAAAGAATATACATTTCATTAAGACCAAAAACAACCACCAATTGCCACTAAGTTGCGGTGACATCATCACGGCGCTTGTGCCAGGCTAGGTGCACTTTAAGGTAACGTGAAGTGTCGAACACTCGCTGGCAGGATGTCACGGGACAGTCCCAGGTGTCATACGTTGACTGACTGAGATGACTGCCAGATGCATCAACTGTGCCCTCTAGTGTGCCAACATTATGTCCACCACCTCTACCACCAGCATCATCATCTTTGTTCATCATTCTTATCACAATCTCTCTCAAAGGGATCGGTAAATGAGAACACAACACCCAAAGGGTTCACTCCTACTCGATGGGAATTTAAAGGTGGTTTAACCGATAAGGACTACACTGCCCCCCGTGATGGGAACGCGGGCATTTCCACCACTTGTTCAACGCCCTTAGCGGAGATGATCACCCAAACGTGTCTATTGGGACAGTTCGTCTAAACAATTCCCACGCACTCCATGGCCGAGTGTGTTCAGCACGTTTGCATGGACGTCCCTACTCAAGTTCAAGTTAATGTATTAGGTATAGCCCTGTGAGCCATTCGGCTCTTGAATCGGGTGCAACCGCAACAAACAAAAAACAAAAACATGATCAAAAACATCTGAAAGTGAATATGTGTACTCGTGTGCTGCACCCATATATTTAGACCCAGTGTCCTACAGCCACATTAAGTCTGAGCACTGAACACCACCCACCTCCACCCTCAGCACGCTCGTCAGCAGTTACCAAATTAAATAAATCAAGATATAATCGGCGACGTTTCGGGCAATGGCTCATTCTGCATAGCATCATCCCCCACCCCCGCTCCCCACACCAATTCCGGCAGAATAATGACCACTTTCGGGCGCTGTTATTGAATCACCTTGGGCCTCGCCTGTTACAGCTGTTAGCTGAAGCCTCCCCTCGGATGGGAAAATACAAACAAAGCACAGCTGGGCAATTGAAATGTGATGGCACGTACGTATAGTTGACTTTCTTTCGCACCGTACACAGCCAACCGTGCTTGTCGGAGGTGCTGATCAATGTGAGATGTCAGGCGTTGGGGATGAGGCGTGGTGATGATGATGATGATGTTGTTGGGAGATGCCAGGGGGCGTTTAAACGTCCGGTCTCCTCCTTAATCGACGTCGTTGTGATAGAAAAGCAGGCGCGCTGGAATAATTGCGTTTCATTTACGATTCACAGAGTTCCCTTTCTTCTCCCCCAGTCTCTCAACACAATCACTAATTTGTGTTCAAACAATCACCGGGTATTGTGTGCGTGTGTGTGTGTATGTGGTGGGGTGTGTGTGTGTGGTGGTGGTGGTGTCTGGCGGCGCTTGTGTCGTGTGTGTGTGTGTGAGAGTTACTATTAGCATACGCTAATACCACAACAGGGCCTCGTTCCAAAGCAGATGCGCGCTAATAATTTAAAATTCATTGCGTTCGCCAGCTTTTGGGATTGTTTGACCCAGTTCCATATAGTGCCCCCCATCCCCCGTCCCCACCCCACCCTCCCCCCCCCGAGGAGTAGTCTATGCTCGTCGTACGTCGTGTGGCAGATGTTGCACTGTGGTCGCCCGCTCGTCTTGAGGCAAGCGCGATGGTTTTCATCTCCTTCTCAACGCCTCCGCGCGTCTTAATATTTTGTTAAACGAAGCCCCTGTGAATTGGGCGGCACTTGATTTGCCGCTTTGTTTTTACAAGGCCGGGTGAATTGAGATGAGAAGAAAAAAAAAGCCGCACCTGACGAAACGGGAAACATTTCATAAACGAAACTGTCCTCGAAAATCAAAGCTAATGCGGCACAGTTAGGGATTTGGGTCAGTGGCAGATTGTTCATTCTCTCTCTGCGTGGCCCCGGAGTTGTTTCGAATTCGTTTTCTACACCCAGCCCTCCGTGCTGTCGACAACCTTGCCCCCCTGTGGCAGCCCCCCCCCCACCACTCCGCCCAGACCGAATTTCTCTCCGCCTCTGCCTACTACGCAAGACGCTGTCCCTGGTGCTGATTAAACAAAACTACTTTTTATTTTAGCAGCTAAGGCCGATAGAGCTATTATAGCTCTTTTTTTCAGAAGCGACCTGGCCACAAATGATAGATTTGAAGCTTTCGTGACTGCAAGGATTCATACTCTTAAGTTTTTTTCGGTAAAGTCATGTAGGTAAAAATAAATAATAAAAATAATGAAAGTAATAATAGAAATAAAATAATAAATCACGACGTTTCCGAGGCAACACAAGTCTCCGTCATCAGGTGGGACCGTCACAGCTAAATTTACTGTATCTCATTTAAGTGATACATTTACTGTATCACTTGATACACTTGATACAGTAAATTTAGCTGTGACGGTCTCACCTGATGAAGGAGACTTGTGTTGCCTCCGAAACGTCGTGATTTATTATTTTATTTAAATTATTATTTCTATTATTTTTATCATTTATTTTCACCTACGTGACTTTACCGACCAAAACCTAAGAGCACAAATGATAGCTTAACGAAGTGGCTTATCATCACATGTTAACGTATAGCAAACGCATACTCTAAACGCACAATGATTCTAAATTTAGACGGGAAAACCGGAGGACTCGGGGAGAAATCAACGCGACCACCGAGAGAGAACATGCAAACTTCAAATGTACAGACGTCAGGGACGCAATGGGGTGTTCTCACTTTAATCTAAATTGTCCTATGGTTGTTATTGTTTGACTTGCATCACACTGGGATTTTTGCACACAGCGTTGTAATTAGGTGTTTTATTTTCTGGAAGATTTGCTGGTTTACCCAGGATGTTTCTGTTGCGCGTCGTCGCTTTCAGATGTCCTCTGTTCATATTTTGTTTGTTGCGGTTGCACCCGACTCAAGAGCCGCATGGCTCACAGGGCTACACCTAATAAATGAAACTTGAAACTTGAACTATTAGTTTTTTCGGTAAAGTCACGTAGGTAAAAAATGAAATAAAAATTAATAAAAATTAAAATCACCACGTTTCGGAGGCAACACAAGTCTCCGTCATCAGGTGGGACCGTCACAGCCAGATTTGCTGTATCACTTAATATCAATTGATACAGCAAATCTAGCTGTGACGGTCCCACCTGATGACGAGACTTGTGTTGCCTCCGAAACGTCGTGATTTTTATTATTTTATTTTTATAAATTTTTATTTTATTTTTTACCTACGTGACTTTACCGAAAAAACTAATAGTATGAATCCTTGCAGTCACGAAAGCTTCAAATCTAGAATTGAAACTTGAAACTCACATGTTGTGTGTCGTCGTGGCCTGCACTAAAGGCCACCAGGGGCCGCCGGCTACCCCACGGGCCTGGCAAGGCAGAACACTGCGCCCCAACCGAACTACGAACCCTTTGTCAACCCCGTGCCCTGCCTGAACTCGTAGCAATCTGCAGCGCGCCGGTGTCACTGAGCAGAAGGCGATGCCTCCCAAACCGCCCTTGCTCAGTAGTGTAAACAAATGATCGAGCATCCCGCTCATAGCTGAAATCATTAAAAGTTGCTGAGAATTACACGCGGAAGGGAAAGAAAAAAACCTCAAACTTTGATCCAGCGCCAAGTATGGTAATTTTCACTAAGCGCCCATATGTTTTATTCATGACAACGTCACCATAATGGTGGAGCCGTGCGCGTCGTGGCGGGAGGTGGTGGGTGGTGGGGGTGTCAGGCCGCTTGCAATTAATGAACGCGAGTACGATGATTAACAAGAATTTAATCACTCAACTTTAAAACTAATGCGCTGTGTACGAATCCAATAACAACGCCGCCAATCAAGGACTATTACGGCTGTACATGGGCGGCACAACGCAATGTAAAAGTTAATCGGTCGAATATTGCCATTCTTTGACACCACTATCTTGAAATAAATAATGGCTATAACTCATAGAAACGACCCTCCTTCATAGCACATG